GGGCGGGGAGCTTCCCGCCGGCCCCGCTGCTTCTTCGCCCCCTGCCCTTAAGTTTAGTCAGTGGACTCGCCCGCGTCAGTGAAATAACGCCCCTCGGCGCGGCTGGCCGTGTCCCGGCTGGGAACGGCGGCAGCGAAGTCCCTGTGCGCTGGCAGGCAGCGCGTTAACTGGGAATCGTCGGGAGGTTGTTACACCCCAAGGGCATCATCCGCCGGTGTGTGTGTTCTACGCTGAAGCCGCAGCTCAGGTTGCGAGGCTGGACACCTGCCAAGGCGCGACGGCAGTCAGCGCGTCGCACGGCGGTTCCTGACGGGAGCGGGGCGGCTGGGAGCTGGGCCCTGCGTGTCCTGAGCCCCACGGGCCCGGAGGGCTGCGGGCGCGCTCAACTTTCTTCCTCAAGTACGAGGAACGCTTCATCGCCTTCGCGTTTCTTGTTACGTACGCGGAGCTACGAGTCCAATGGTCTTTGCCTCTGCTACTTGAAGTAACGCTGCCGTTAGAGCCTTGAAGTTGCATGCAGATTATTAGAAGTCTTTTAAACTAAATGCAGCTTACTAGCCGAGCATTTTATAGGGAAAAATACGGGAAAATATCATGGCCTTTGCTATCAACGTGCAGCTATATTTACATTTACACTTGGAACTGGTTATTTCAGGTATCTACAGAGTAATTTTTGAAAATAGCCCTGCCTTTTTTGTCAAAATTGTCACTCAGCGCGGCAGGGTTGATTTAGCGTTGGTAAGGTTATAAATAACTTTATTAGCACCATATTCTTAATTGAGTGGCTTGCTGAAAATGTGGAAAGTGCTCAAAGTGGTGTTCAGATTTCCAGGCTTTCTGCGTCAGTGTTGGCTTGAATGTGATACCGCAGGTCTTACCTAATATAAAAAGGAAAAAATAGGAATTAGTATTTAACTTAAATAATCTGCCAACAATTCAGTGCTTTCCTTCTAAGCTTGACAGGTGCTATGTCCATTTCTGACGCGTGTTATGTTATAGGACATGCAGCATCATTGACTGCACTTCTGTGCTATCGATGAAACTGATGTCGTTTCCATAGTTGTAAGGAATTGGCTTGATTGTAGTATTATGAATTGCTTTGTGGTGAAAAAAAGAATGGTCACGATACATACTGATGTGCCTGAAAGAGAGCTGAACTAAATAACTTTGTGAAAAGTAAGGAAATTTTTAATTGGGGGGGGGGGGGGCTATTTCCTAATTATCTTCTAGCAGTTGATTTTAAATTAAAAAATAGTTAAAAATCATTGGTGCTCTCTGACTCTTCAGGACAAGAAAACATTAGAAGAACAGGCTGCTTGATAGAGCAGCTAAAAATTCTGACTCATCTAATGGTAGCAATCTGTTAACTAGTAGATAGAAGTAGGGTTTTTTCAAGTAGTAAAGCAGGACCAGTACTGTGCAGAGAAGTTGTTTAGAGGAGAAGAAAATACTTGTTTTTTTTAAAAATATTGTGCTGTTTTAGTCTTGATTGATTATTTGAGTGTTTGTGGAGGAAGTGTGTATTTAGGACTGATGGAAGGGAAGTCAGTGCCTGGAATTGTTGCATTTAGGATTAAAGTTATGATTACATAACAACAGAAGATTATTGTGGCGCAGTGCATTTCGCATTTGCACAAATTTTCCTCTCCATTTCTGGTTAATGGTTATCCTTTGTGTAACTGTGCATTCGAGTGTAACTTGGGTAAATCATTATCTTTTTACCTTGAAGATGAATTAGTGGCCTTTTACGTTTTGAAGATGCTTGTGCTTTTCTGTCCTTAGGTGGGGAGATAAATGAGAATACTTTAAGTGTTAAGAGTGTGCTATCTGAACAGCTTAAACTTAGGCCACAATCTAAAACTTTCTGACTGCAAAGGAGGGAAATTTGAAGTAGGGAAGGAATTTGAAGTAGGAATGAGAGTATTGACTTATTTTTAAAAGAAAATGATGCTTTGATAACAGAATTGAGCCGTGTTTCCGATGATTTGTTACTCTGTCCTGCCTTGGTGTCTCATCCTGTTCTTTTGCTTGCTGTGTTTTTCCTACAGGGTCAGCCACTGATCTGTTGCACAGCTGGCACAGAACTAGGGCTGATGCTGGGTGGCAGTAAGTGCTCAGAAAGGAGCTGGCTGAGCGACTGTGTGCTTCAGTGTACACAGTCGCTGTCACTGGAGAGATTGTTTTGCAGTCACAGTCTGGAGCTTGCGTATTGATCAACCTCAGTCATGAGGAGTGATTCTCTCTTAATGCCTAGGGCATGAAAGTCTAGCCAGGTGGAGGAAACTTAAAATAATTTGTTTTTTAACAATAGGCCCATGAACCAGTTTGTGTGAGGTAAGGAGTGGGGAACAAATAGCTCATTAGTTAGAATCACAGAATATCTCAAGTTGGGGGGGACCCACAAGTCATGATGGTTGCCCATATGCATATATTTACTTCGCAGGAAACTTCAGTTGTTTGAGATGCATTATTTTTAAGTAGAGAAGGTCGGTTATCTGAGGTGGAAGAAAATACACTTGGGCAGTTAACAGAGTAGTTAATTTGTGTGTTTATACCGAAGGTTTTTACTTTTAACTTTTTAAACAAGAAAGAATTGGGAAAAACAAAAAAGTTGCAAGTGATAGTGTTACAAAGGAAGACTCCAGAAAACAGGTTTGCAAGAGATCTTAACAATTATTTAGTGGTATGAACTTCTGCCGTATTTCACCAGAATGAACTTCGATTGAAACTTTACATGTCAATATTAGTTTTTTACTACTTATTAAACTGCATGTTGGTTTTATTTGTTTTAAAATAAATACCTTTAAGGCTTACAGTAGCTTTGGCCTAATTACTAGAAGTGACTCTAATATATAAATCATCAAAATCAGTATCCAAAGAAGCTCATACAGGGAAAAACTGTTAAGTTCACAGAGTTTAAAGCAAATAATGACTTAAATGATTTATTAACAATACATAATTAACCAGCAGTCAGTGAATTATATAGCTGTGATCAGTATCAGCAATATGATAAATCACAATTCTAGACCTACACAGAATGTTAATACACCACTGCAAACTTCAAAATGCCTGTTTGTAATCCCCATAAGTTCTAATCACACTGAATACACGTGCCCACCAACCAAGGCAGTGTAGGTTATAAGCACACCCTGCCTCTTCTGCTTTTGTGCTTCTGTTTGAGCTGATTTCTTCTTTGCTTTGAAACTTAATTTTCTGCGTAATTTTTGCCTAATTTTCTGGCTACTCTTCCAGCTAACGGTTGTCGTCACCTTCAGTGTGATGAATATTGAGAAGCCACTATCTCAGACAGTTTTGGGTGAACTCTTCACGCGTAGCACCTATACTTGCAGTCCTTTCTTAACAGCTATTATCTAGGCTATTTTACCAAGGGTGTGTTAAGCAGCCTCTTCCTCACTTCAGAAATGTGGAGCCTTGTACCACGCAAGGTCCACCCCTACCCACGGCCAGTAGTCACTAACAATTTGGCTAAAATGTGAATTTACTATTTGTGAGCATGTTCTTGTGTCATGATAAATGCACTGTAGCTGTTCACCTATCTGTCTAGATAAGTGATTTCCATTTTTTGGATGTTGTGTGAACACTGAGAGTTTCCATTTTTAAATACTAGCAATAACCAGAAATGTACTTTATTGTAGTGTTCTGTCACTTCTGAAGTGTTACCAGGAGGTAGTAATGTCAGACCTTGTCAGTGAGTGTTGAAGCTTAAGCTCAGCCTCCTTATGCTGACAGCCTGAATTTTCCTAATTATAATTCCATATTTTATTTCCTTTTGCAAGACTACGCGGTACAAAGTATTTTCTTAGAAGCCCTATGAGTTGACTAAACATAGGTCAGTCAGCCTTCGGCTTATTTACCTACAGCTCTTAAAATGCAGAAGACCTGTATGTGCTCGATTGCTTTTTGGTCTTGAAAGGCATTGGTCTGATCATCAAATGATCAGCATGCTTGTACTGTTTGTGCACTGAATCACTTGGGATCATGTATCCATGAACGTTTTGATCTTAGAGAAAGTTGTTCTTTAAGATAAAGAACAAGTTGCTAGAGTTTAGTAAATTTAGGTGGACTGTCAGTATGTTAAGGATTAGGTCCACTCAGCATATCGCATTCAGTGTAGCTGATTTGAGTAATGTTTTGGAGAAGTGGGATGTCTGATGAAAATGATTGACTAGAAAAAGTGGCTTGGTTTTTTTGTTGGGAGCTTCTCATATAGCTACTTCTATACCCAGTTATTTGACATTCTGGTTACTATCAGCAGAAACCTTCTGGGCTAGATGTGGTGTAAATGAAGCACGTAGCAAGTAACAAAAGCATAGCGCTCTTCTCACTCTTTGGGGGTCATGCCTGAAATGTCTTCTGCTTATGTGTCTTCCTGAATGTAGATCTTTCATTGCTGAGATTCATCAGTGCTGAGCTAACGAGAGGTTACTTCCTTGAACACAATGAAGCAAAATACACGGAGCGGAGAGAGAGAGTATACACATGCATGCGGATACCAAAAGAACTGGAAAAGGTGAAGTATTCTTTTAAGAGATTTGTTTTAATTTAGATGAAATCTGTTGCATTAAATTATTTAAAGAAATATTTATTTTTCAAACACTTTTGGTACTAAAAAGATTTAAACTTTTATAATTTTAAGTGTCAGTAACTTAAACATTTGTGTTTCAGTTTTTGTTGCCTATGTTTGCTTGTTGCTGCTAGCAACTCATGGCCATTTGTTGATGTTATTAGTAGATATGGACATGGGTAATTTTCAAGTCCAGATGATGACAAATTAATTCAAATATAAAGATGTCACTGATCCTTAAAGGAATAGTCAAGCAAAAGAAGAATTTACTGCAAAATGTAATTTTACATTTAAAAAAAAAAAAATCTTTTAAAGATCTTTCCAGTCCAAAATGTTTTGAGGGTGGGAAGATTTCAGTCCTTTAAAAATATGGTGATGGATGAGTTTCTGTTTAAGGTTTTTAACTTAATTTTCATAGCCTTCTATTTTGCTTCTTGCCACTGTTTACTGCATCTTCCCTCTCTATCCCAGTGCTATGACCCTTCCGGAGGCTTCCCTGCCCCCTCCTTTATGGCAGCTTAGATATAATTCTGGCCCTGCAGTGAGCAAATTCCAGTGCTGTAATGTAGAAGAGAGTTTTATTCTGGCTTAACCATTTTGAAACCCTGTAGGAGAGGGTGTCAAAGGAATATGCTCAAGAATGAGGAGTATGGCAATATTGGTAATAAGGTTTGGTTAGGCTGCAGTGTAACGATAACATTAAAAGTCATATTGCTAAAATTCTCAAAACCTCTGCGGATGAAGTTACACGGTAGAGCTAAATCAATTTATCCCTAACTTATGTTGAAGGAGAAGTCTTGTTTCACTGTTCCTCCCACTTCAGTCTCCTGCCTTATGCATGCTGCCTGTTTTGCATGAGTTGTGGTGCTTGTAGGACCGTTCTCAGAGTTACATCAGCTCATGCGGCAGTGAATGCTTCAGTTTTCTTGCTCTATTTGTTCTCTGCCAGGATAGTGAGCTGAATTGCTCAGCCAATATTCTTGAGAATCCAGAGCCTACATAAGGGCGGAAGGGGAGCTGTATAGCTTGGAGTAAGGGTAAAAGGATCGAAGAGCAGTGGAGGAGGGAGGGAGAGTAGGATACCCTTTGTCAGCAGCACTCAGGTTCCCCCTTCAGTATCATTAAGTTCATCCTTGGACCATGATGAGACCTGGTTTTACAAAACTAAGTTCCCAGTCAGTTACTGCAGTAACTGTATGTGTGAGTTAAGTATGGATGAGACTGGGCTGGACCTCTGGCGATGATGGAGTGCAAGCCCTTGGTTAAAGCTGCATCACCTACAACAGGTGACAACAGGTTGCTCAGGACCAGATCCAGTTGGGCTTTGAACATCTCCAGGGATGGTGTCTTCGCATCCTCACTGTTTACCCATTCCAGTTTACAGTAGAATACTCCAATTATGGTAGGGTGTCAGTTGAACAATATAGCAGTTCTACATCATTTCCATTGTAATTATATAGACTATTATGTGCCGTGTCCAAGCCACAGAAATTATTCTGAAGGATCATCACCATAGATTCCCAATAAAACTTTCAGTATGTAAGAACAAGTGAAGGCCAACAGACTTTCATAAATAAGGTTGATGCTGTAAGTGGTGAAATTGATGGTTTTTACATGGTAAATCAAACTTCAGTCTGTACTTTGAATATGAAAGAATATGAAACTGACTAGTAAGCAGATAGATTTAAAAGGTTGTAGTTATCTTTTTATAGAGAGATTATGAAATAAATTTGTTACTTCTTTGCATGGGCTTAGTCCAGGTTAGTATACATACTAGCTACATCAAATTAAGTCATACTTGTTGAAAAAATTGAAAAAGTATGATGATGAGCACCTAGAAAACAAACTAAATAGTGTACAAATCATTGCCTATTGGAGGAATTGCTTGACTGTGTGATTCAAAAGTCTGCTTAATTGAAATGAAGCACATGAGACACTAGGAAAGGAAGAGAAGAATTTTCATAATGGCTTTTATTGTTTACTACCTAATAGTTTAGTTACAGACTAGGAATGAAAATCATAATTGGGTAGAGTGAGAATAAACTGGAATAAATTTGCCAATGCTTAATCTCAGGAGATATTCTTTAACATGCACTTATTACATGTATATAATTTTAGAGTGGGGTGTGATGTTAAAAGGTTAGTATTTTTGTTATTGTTCTGAATACTCCTTTTTTATTTAGAGAAGCTAGATAATTTGTAATATAAACGCTACTTCCACTTGAGCTTTTTGTGCAGTGTCAGTGGAAGCTCTTCATTGTAATAGATTATATATACTAAATGAAAAAATGTTCTCTATTC